TGTGTGTGTGTGTGTGTGTGTGTGTGTGGGTGTGTGTGTGGGTGTGTGTGGTCGCCTCCCTCAGGCAGCTTTCCTCAAGCCTCAATGGCAACTTCCTTGGTGTCCTGATGAAGTGAAGACTGGCTCGGTGAGACTAGGGAGAAGCCCAGTACTGTTCTGTGAAGTTCATAGATGAAGTTCAGGGTACTGTGAGCAGCGGGACTCTACAATGTCACAACCAGCCTCACCATCTGTACTATCAAGGTATCTGGCATAGTGCCTGCATGCAGTAGGGTCTATAAAACTTTTTTTTTGTTTTTTTTTTGGGTTTTTTTTGGTAATGAACAACTCACTGGAGAACTGCGCAGCTAAAGGAAGCAACATTAATGCAATGACTGATCTTGGCACTAGAGTGCAAACAGGCATGTTTTGCTAATGAACCTGAGCTAAGGAATCTGCGAAGGTGTGGCAGAGAAATCTGCTCATTCTCAGGGACACTCCTGTCTGAGATGTGAGAGTGGCTGTTGTCTTTGGTGGCTGAGCAGAAAGCTTCACAGGGGGCCTCCTATTTCCTCTGTCCAGACAGAAAGCCGGGGCTGATTGACTGGGCCACTGGCTCTTTGTTTGCTTGTCCCACCAGTTTCTAGCATAGAATGAGTATGTAGGAGAGTTCAGCAAACATAATTTGAATGAGAAGAGAAAGAAACAAGAATAATAAAACACCTGGGGCAGTAATGTCTGACGGAAAGTCTGAACCCAGGTGCCGTGGGTGTGTAGGAGAGGGAGCATCAGCCTGATGGAAAGGGTAACGGGCAGCTGTAACGAGCCCTTTATGAGCCAGGACATCACAGAAAACCAAAGGCAACATTCTCTAATTGCTACCGCTGTGTTTTATAGATCCCTGGGCCCCGTTCTGTAGTCCTACCAAACTCAAGCGCCTATGGATGACCCTGAAGCACCAGGCATCAGGGTCCACCAGCTCCCTAGATCTGGGAAATGTATAGTAAGTAAAAAAGTTGTCCTATGCTGGTAGATCATACCTACTGTGCTGGTAGATCATACCTACTTTCCGTCACTGTCATTCTAAGCATGACCTATACAGGACCCCCCCCCCCCCCACACACACAGTCAACACAAACCACATAGCATTTCTGCTGTCTTCATTTTGACCCTTCCATGTGACCCTCACTCTAAGGAGGATTATACCCATGTTCCCTGTCTCTTAGGGAGACCATGACCACAAGGTCCTACCTAGCTCTGAAAGAGACTGTACCTGCTTCTTGTTGACTTGGAGGAGAATTGTGTTTGTATAAATCCATCTCTAAGAAGGCCATGAAGATGGGTTTTCTGGCAAGTCAAGTGTGTTTTCCTTAGGCCAGTGTGGCTGGAGACAATCTGCCTGCATCACACACCTGCTGGAGTGAGAAAGGAATCCTTAGAAACTAGGATGGAGGTAGCTTGCTCTGCAAGGGCAAAGGGGTCAAACCTGACCCTGGGATCCTGGGTATAAGCCGAGAGGCATGTCTAGAACAGGAGAAAATGTTCTCTGTCTATATAGTCTGCAAGGCAGATGGAAGGAAGAGTCACCTTTTGTCGGATCTATGCAGACCCTTTGACATTATGGCACCGTCTATGCTCTGGATGTCTTTTATCGTAGGAAGGGAGATGGTGAGACAGGATCTTTGAGAAGGCACAAAACTGAGCAAAAATGTCCATGACACCAAGAAGCCTGTGTGTTGAGCTGTAAAGTTGAGAAAAATGTAACTACCCTGCTAGGTGATAAGGCTATGTCCAGAATGACTGAAAACTTACCCATCTTCAGATCATCCACATACCTGTGACATGTGATCACTCTACCGTGAACTCACGGAGGTTAGAAGCCAGCCGAGAAGAAACACATGGAGGCAGCAGGAAGGACTGAGGCAAGCAGGAAAGTTCCCAAGAGACGTTCATGTCTTTTTCAAGGAGGATCCCTGCCTCAGAAGGGCTGCACACCTTGGCCAGTGCTTGGTTCTGGCATGAGCTGTGGAATCTTTCATAATGGGTATGAGATAAGAGGCCATGAGGTAACGGGATACAGGAAGGGAGGTTCCCGCGCCTTCCAGAGCTGGCACAACCTTTTTCCTTTTGAGGTGGCTTTCTTGTCAGGTGGGAGGGCACAGCCAGCCTCCTCTCCAGCGAAGGTCATCCTTGCAAAGAGCTCCATGACTTCTGGGCATGCTGTGTATCTCCATGGCCTCTCCTGCAGCTCTCTGTGCTCAAGAATGCAGAGCATGCAGTTGATCTCATGCAACTGAGGCTTATGACATGGAATTACGAGATGCATAGGGCAGTAATATGGTGATGGGAATAAACCAGACTGCCACATATGTAATGACCAGCAGTGGTTGTGTGGTCCATACATAGTGCCTGACAGTGCTTGTGTGGCCCATAAGATCTCTGGGACTGTTTACCAGCAGGCTCCTGCATTGATCCCTTCTTCCTAGCCAGTAACCACTGTTTCAGCCTCTCTCTCTCTCTCTCTCTCTCTCTCTCTCTCTCTGTGTGTGTGTGTGTGTGTGTGTGTGTGCACCCACACACGCATGTCCCCATGTCCACAAGTGAGTGAGACTTGAAGCACTGATTTTCCCATGCCTGCCCTATTTCACTTAAAATAATGAACTCCAGTCCCATCCGTACTACTACAGATGACATGATCACCTTTTTATGGCTCAGTAATGCTACATGGTATAAATGCATCGCTTTGTCTTTACTGGCTCACCCATTGGAGGGCATCCAGGTTGACTGCACATCTTGGCTCTTAGG